ATATATATTTATAACTGTCTTTATAATTATTAGAAACACACAAAGTGTTTCAATCTCTCTAATCATTATATAAAAAGATATTACTTTTGATAATTATTTTAATTTATATTTTTATATGGACTATTTTGTCTCTTTTTGATAAAGTATATGTTATCCTTTTAATTTCAAATTTTCACTAACTATAAAAAAAATTAATTGACTTTTAGTTTTTTTCCATTTTATCATTCATAATTACAAGTCACCACTTTTCTTAATATTCTATAAAGAGACATCACTTTTATATACAAAATATATAGAGACATGAGGTTTTTTTATTCACTAGTTTATCATCAAACTTAAATATAATTTATATGTTTCAAAATATTAATTTATTCAAATTTTAAATATAATTTATATTTATTTTATATAATTAATTATAAATTATATATAAATAAAAAATTAGTACTAGTAAATTTTTTTAAACTTATAAGTTATATTTTGAATTTTTAATAAATAATTTATATTTTGACATGCGAATATTTTTAGTTATTAATAATTTATTTTGAAAATATTAAAATTTAATTTATAAATCAATATAATAAAAAATCAAAAAAAAATACTAAAAATTCTAGCATAGAAAAAAAAAATATATATTTAAAAACATTCTCACGCATTATGCTTAACTTTTTTCATATAGTCGATCGTGCATCAGTGTTAGTGATAAATAGATTAATCTTTACGCACCATGTTAATATGCATCCTTCCTCAATATAATTTACTCGCCTTAGATCGAAAGACTCCCGTGTCACTCGTCGGTGCCAAGAATAATGTAACAGAGACCAACACAAGTAAAAGGTAAATTGCATGTGAGGTAAACTATAAACAATAAAATCTTTTTTAATCTCGTCTATAAAATTATTGGCACAATGAAGATCAGAGGGCTACAACTACCTGCAAAATATCACATTAGAAAATTAAGATTGATGTTTGTGGAAACAGCATAAAGCATGTTATTTATGGAGTATCAAAACAGCATTAATGTGATACTTCAAAAATCTCATCCAACATCAAAATCCACCACTTTAATAGAGTTGATTATTGCTCAGAGCATACAAGGCTGCAAACATACACTCCAACTTCAAAGCTATCAACGTGATTGACCCAACTGATCAGACTATAAGAAAACATCAAACTAATTCGCCTGAAATTAATTTGAAAATCAGATTCCATGGAGTACCACACTAACATTACAAAGTGTGAATTCAAGCAAACATCGACAAATTGAAATGTGATACGTTCTATTGTGTACTATAAATGTGTAATATACACTACCAAAACAAACTTAATCTGGGAGAAATTTGCCTTTACACATTGATACTATGCCCATCACGTGAAGTTCAGTCTATGACTCCGTAGTAACAATATTACAGTATCTTGTGATCTTTTCAGCCACTAAACAACACTCACCCTCACAGTCCCCCATCATAATTTGCACCCCAGCCTTCACAAAGTATTTCATTTTCATTGTGCTTATCTTCATCCTCAGGCTGCATGATGGACAATTTCCTTAATGGATATGTTGCATTCTGATCATCTTCATCTGCAAACTTTGGGTTGTTTTCAACTTGCACAACACAAGAAACCTCATCTTCAACCTCCTCCTCTCCGTCCCCCTCATTTTCATCCCCTTCATCTTCATCCTCCTCATCTTCATCCTCTTCATCTTCAATCTGCAAATAAATGTACTTGTACAGGAATGCATCATATATGGAATATTCAATGTGGCCATAGCATGGTTTTGCATGCACCAAAACCAAAAAAGCCTTAACTATATTGTGCAAAAACAGCTTATAGTATATTACTCTTTGTTTTCAATTTTCTTTATCCTATCCGATTGCTTAAGAAAGGTAAATGAGGGTGAAAGTGTCTAAACTCAATTCAACAATGACATCAAATTAATTTGGAAGCTATTGTAACATACTTAGTTTATATAACCTATTGTAACATACTTAGTTTTGATGGAATAAAAATTAAGTTTTACATCCTTAGAATAAAAAGAGAAACAAAAGTTTATATAAACTATGCACATATTCTATTAATTAGAGACCTTTTAAGTGATAATTAAAAGATAAATTATGAAGGCATAGATCTAAAATAGACAATATATTACTGTTGTAAAGATACTCCAAAATAATTCATATATATGCTTCCCCCTTGACAAATATAACCCATAAACAAACCCAAAAAATATCCCTTCAATTTTATATAACCTATTAATTGTAACAGGTGACAAATAAAATAAAGATATCAATTAATTCATATACCCAAAAAGCATGTTAGGACTTACTGTGATTTTTCTGTCAAACAAAATAAAACCAGCATATTTTATATATAATGTCATGACATTGATTGTTGACTTCCGTCATTATTTTTTATGCGACTTTCGATATGCACAAGTTCTACCAAATGAAACCTCTGAAATGCAAAACCAGCAAACTTTTGAACACTAACATCAGTTATTTCTCGAGTGTTGGTTCTACTATCCTCGGTGGACTTGTCCTCATCATCTAGTTTCCAGTGATCAGCCACAACTTCAGCAACGGTGGGAAGATCATTCATCAAATTAAATAAATGTTTCCTGCCATAAAGAAATCCAAGACAAAATCCAAAGGCAAATTTACAAGACTTAATCGATAGAAAACCACAGTGAAGTCGAATTATCAATTTCCTCTTGTACCTTTGATCGCAGTCAAGACTAAATCCATTGTAAAAGGCCACAGCAAGCAACCACGAATCACTATGAATGGCAACAAGATAAAGCCACTTCGTGCGGTCCATGCCCTCCTTACCAAAATTGATTCCAAGAACTGGCTCAGGTAACTCCGTCGGAACTAGCTCTTCTGGCGCAGTTACTTCCCAAGTCTTATCCGAAAGTCCATAGAGGCAAAAGCATTCCCTTTCTTAAAGAAAACAAACACTTCAAATTTAATGGAACAATGTATTATCAAAACGAATACAAACAAAAACCATGCAAGAACTCTCTCTAATGTACAGCCATTTCGTTTCCTCAAATTCTTTGCTACGAAAACTATACACCTTTTTACTTGCTTTCTTCGACATGCATGCATGCACATCAACTGACATACACCCAATTCCTTTACTAGTAACAAAAAGCAAAAAGAAAGATCACATATTACCGTTTATCTGGATCACAGAGGTCGTAAACTTGATCAGCGTCTGAGAAAAGAAAAAGGCAAGAAAGTCAAGAACTTGGAGAATCGAAAAGAGAGAGGCATTGGAAAGAGAAGATTAGTACGTACCACGAGTAAGAGCGTGAATAAGAGCGGTAG